GGGAGCGGCTGGCCTGGCAGGCAGAGAAGGAGCAGGTGATCCGCTACCAGAAGCAGCTGCAGCACAACTACATCCAGATGTACCGGCGCAACCGGCAGCTGGAGCAGGAGCTGCAGCAGCTCAACCTGGAGCTGGAGGCCCGGGAGTTGGCAGAACTGGGCCTGGCCGAGCCGGCACCCTGCATCTGCCTAGAGGAGATCACTGCCACTGAAATCTAGGATGCCGCTCTGCAGGGTGCTCTGCTGCAGGTCCCGGGTCCACCGAGCATCCTTACGTCTGAGGACGCCGGTGCCACTCACCTCCTGGGATACAGGCATCTGGGTCCCTGCCAGGGACTTGTGTGGCTGAGACCTGGAGAAGTAAGCGCAGAGCCCTCCAAGGTCTCCAAGGTCCCCGTGTTGCTGTGCCCCAGGGGCTCCTCACCGCCTATCACACACACCCCACTGCCACCCGTCCTGTCCAACCCCAATGCTTGCCCGCCCACTCCAGCCCAGAGCTGGGAAGAGGAAGGGGCTCCCTTCTCCATATGCTGCCCTGCCCCATAGCTAGAGAGAGCCAGATGGCACCAAATGTGCCTGCCCCACATGCACTGGGGGACGGGGCTGGGCCGGGGCTGATCTCCAGGCCCAGCCCTGCAGCCTCTCTCCTGGGCTGGAGGGGGCTGAAGTCAGACCAAAGGAAGAACTCAGATGTCTTGTTTATTTGTTTGCGACCAAGCGGCCCCTCACAGTACTCAGATTTATGGCCTCATTTTCACTTGGTATTTTTCACACTGTAAATGTCTTGTAAAAACCCAAAGAAAAAAAATTAAAAAATTGTTTTGTTTTTAAAGTGAGCATGTTGGATAAGCAACTTCCAGGGAACTTTTGTGACCTCTACCCATTTCCTGACCACTGCTCCACCCGTCTTACGAGGAGGAAGGAGAAACCCAGCAGCAGGGTCCTGGTGGACCAAGTCTTGAAGTGATCTTGGGAGTCTAAGGAACGAGAAGAGCCTTCTGTCCGGTCTCCCACACTGAATGCTGCCCAGGCCGGGAGTCTGTGTCCCTCCTGCTGGGGGAGTTGGGGCTTGGAGCAACATCAGGAGAAAGCGCCCCCCAGTCCTCTGCTCTAGACCAGGGTTTCTCTGTCCCCTCCTTCGTCCCGGGAGTAGTGGATGTGGCTGCCCCCAGCCTTCTCTCCCACTTGTCCGGTCACCAGGCTTATCTGGCAGGGCAGAGCCATACCAACCCGGGAGGGCGACCGCGGGCAGATGAGCCACCTGCAGGGATGGCACTCACAGTAGGCAGGGTACGTGGGACTGAGGTTCCTGAGCCCCCGGGGGTTCATAAGAGGTCAGAGTCTTCAGGACAGTGGGGCAATGAGAATTGAGTCGGTGGGGAGGATCTGGCTCAGAGGGGAGAGCACCGGAGTGGCCTCACGAGTTGAGAGTTGGGGAGGGAACCAGGCTGGGAGTCCTCTGGAAAACCCTGACCTCCATGGAAGGTTCTAGAAGCTAGTGGGAAGGCCCTGGAGTAGCATGAAGGGGCTGGGGGGAGGGGCAGTCAACAGGAAGGCACCGGTCAGTGAGGGCTGGTCAGTGAGGGCTGGTGGGTCGGGGTGAGGGTGACAGGCCCGGCCCGGGAACCCTGACCACCAGCTGCATGGGCTCCTGGGCCTTATTGCGGTAAGCCCTGCGGATGGTGTCCACTGCTCTCTGGTGGGTCACTTGTTCTAGGTTCTCCCCATCCACTGCCACAAGCTCGAAGCCAGCCTGGAGGGGGGGGACAGTCACAGCCCTCCCTCGCCATGTGGCCCCACCTGTCCCGGACCTGAAGGCAGCACCTCACACCTCCAGGCTGGGACACTCCTCCCCCATCTGGGATGGATGGACAATGAGACTTTTGTGCCTAGGGCTGCTGGGTGCAGGGTGGGGCCAGACAATGGCCCTTTGTACCCTGGGGCTCAGGGTGGAACAGGATGGCCCCTCCTCAGGCCTGGGCTAGCGAGGCTCCCAGGCCTGCTGCGCTGCCCTCAGTCAGACCCCTGCCGCCCACTCCCCAGCCCAAGCCGGTCTGGCTGGAAGAAGATGCCCTGCCAGGCCTTGGCGCAGGGTCCAGGCATGTCACCCACCTGCAGAGCCCCACTGAGGAAGGCGGCACCCCCTGGAAAGATCTTCTCTATCTTCACCATGGGCTGCACCTTGGACTCAATGCCCCCTGAAATGCTGATGCCTAGGAAGGCAGGAGCAGTGAGGGTGCAGCCACTCCCACAAGGCGCCCAGGACCCCTCCAGGGCCCATGTTTCTCCCAAGCCTCAACTCAAATCCTCCAGACCCCAGTTCCCCAGATGTAGGTCCCTCAGCTGTACTCTCGGACACCAGATTTTTTTCCTAGACCCAGCCGGGAGATCACCCGGCTGACCTCACCCCCCCCAGGTGCCGGCTCGGCCCTGCCCAGGCCCCCCAAACTCACCCAAGGACGGCTTCATCTTGGACAGTGTGACTGTCTTCAGCTCCCCACCAGAGGCCTGCAGAGCTGCCGCCTCGGCTACACTGCCACTGCCATTCTCCGAGGGCCCCGGCCTGGCCCCTGCCTTGGCCACCTGCTCACCCAGAGGTCGTGGCAAAGGGGGCCTGGCCTTCCGAGGCTTGTGGTGGCACCCACTGGCCACGCTGGAGGCGGAAAGAGGCACTGGGGATGGGGAGCGCTCACGCCCAGAGGACTTGCCACGACCCCGGCTGCGGCTCCGGGCCCGGCCCTGGCCCAGGCTCTGCTGAGCGTCCTCTGGACTCAGGACTTCAGTGAGCAGCCAGTTAGGCTGAGGTGGCCTGGGTGCCACAGGGGGCGGAAGGGGAGGGGGTGTGCACGTGACCTGGTGTGGGACAAAGGCATCCACTGGCACGTCTTGAAGAGGGGGGACCCCTTTATGAGGGTGGTGGGGGACAGAGGCACCTGGAGAGACCTTGAGGCCCCCCAGGCGCTCTCGCAGCTCTCCATCCTGTCCCTCGGGGAAGCCGTTCACAGGCAGCAAGTAGAAGCCTCCACGGCTATCTGGGGAAGAGGCAGAATCAGGTGGGCCACGCTCCAGACCTGTCTGGGCCTTGGCATGGGTGGGCCTCCAAGACCCAGGCCTGCACTCTTGTCCTGCAGCACGAGCGCTGCACTGGGCGCACTGACACCATGGCTATTGCCATTCTATTCTAAGACAGCCCTGTTCTAATACCTCCGAGAGAAAATATAACCAGCACATCAAACTGGTAACTTCTCCAAGACTATTACACGGGATGAAACCAGGTTTTAAAAAGCAACCCGGGAATGGTGGCACACTCCTGTAATCCCAGCATTTTGGGAGGCTGAGGCAGGAGGATCACAATTCTGAGCCCAGCCTGGACAACTTAGTGAGCCACTGTCTCAAAATAAAAAGGAAAAGGGTGGGGACATAGCTCAGTGCAAAGGCCCTGCATTCAAGCCCCAATATCACAGAAATCTATACACACAAACATAATAAAAAACAAAGGTTTAAATCCAACTATGGGTAATGGCCCAGGTGGTGATTCCATGAGCCAGGGCTTCCCTGCCGCAGTGTCCTCTGAAGCTGCAGTGCCCCATGCGTGTGCCCCCCGCCCCCAGCCGTGGCCCCTCCTGGCTCTGCGAGTCTCACTGACCAGGCACAGGGGTGATGAGATGGCGCTTGGGTGGTGTGTCCTGCCGTGTTGGTCTCAGAGCAGGAGGCCGCACTGGTCAAAGAGAACAGGTCAGAAGCAGACACCCTCCCTGCCAGGTCCTCCATGGGCTCTGTGACTCTGCCACCCTCCCCACCAAGAGCCCCCAGGTCCAGAAGTCCCGCTGTCCTGCTGCTGACCTGCCCGGCTCTTCAGGGCCTCAAAGGCCTCCAGCTCTGCAGACGTCACCATGCTCTCGAAGCGGCCTAGGTCCGTGGGGGCCACCACACCCCTGGGGAAGGCCAGGGCTCAGCTTGGGGGGCTTTGGCTCCGGGGCTCTCATCCACCCCTGCCGGCCCTCAGCCCCTCCCCACCTGATGTCCCTCAGCAGCAGCAGCTTCTCGGGCCTGTCCAGAATGGCCAGCAGGGGCCGCACCAGGTCCTCCACTCCACCCTCTCGCACGTACTGCAAGACAGGCACACAGGTCAGGGGTCCTGAGGGGCCTGGGAGAGTCCACCCCTCCACACCTTAGGAAATGTTCACTCCAGTAAGGGGCTGGAAGGTGGTGGGCCAGGAGCCCGCAACAATGACACATCTCTAACAACAGCAACCACTTTGGGATGAGTGCTTTTTATTTGCCACACTGAGGATTTAACTCAGGGCACATCACACAAGCTAGGCAAACACTGTACCACTGAGCAGCATCCCTAGCATATTTTATTTTATTTCTGAGACAGGGTCTTGCTAAGTCGCCCAGGCTAGCCTTGAACTTAGCATTCTCCGCCTCATCCTTCCCAGTAGCTGGGATTACTGTGTGCTATGATGCCTGAATAATATTTAAGAGATGCGCATCTCCAATATTTCCCTCATTCTTTATTTTGGTGCCAGTGTGGCTGGCACAAACCAGGCACCCACAGACACTGACACGCACCGCTCTCCTGACTCAGCCTGCTCCGCACGTGTGTGCCTTGACAGACAGATGGGCAGCAGGGTGACAGGGACAGTGGCCTGAATGAGAGGGCCGGGGCTGCGGAGGACGGAGCCTTACCCTGGAGCAGTGGCGAGTGACTGCCGGCACCTTGTCCTCAACCATGGGTGGCGTGAACCCAGGGCCCTGTATATGCTATGCCACTGAACTACATCCCCAGCCCACAGTGCACGTTCTAAACCTCTCACATGTGGCCTCTCATTTAGCAACCATCCTGAGAGACGAAACTTTGACAGAGGAGGAAATGAGGGCTAAGAAAGGGCTTTGCTCAAGGCCACACAGATAAGGGAACGTGAACAGGAGCTGGACCCAAGGGATCCGGCCCTTGCCTGCTCTGGCAAAGGCAGGCTCTGCCCTGTGGAAAGCCTGCGCAGGGAGCGGAGTGCAGTCCCCACCTCCACTCCCAGAGAGAATGTGAGCCCAACACCAGGCTGTCCCAGCCCTTTGGGGCCGCAATGCGGACCTCGGGGAAGGGGTGGCGCCACCAAAAAGCCCTTCCAATACTCTTCTGCCTGGCACCGCCTGGTCGCCACTAGCCCGGATGCCACACCCTGCACACGCTGAGAACTGGAACTAAGGCCATGACTTGGGCTAGCACATCGCCCCCTGGTGGCTAGGAGGCCAACTCAGGGCCGCGCGCACACACAACAGCACTGGCTGCGGGTCTTTCGTGAATGTCTGGAAATAAGCCCACTGCAAACCATGTGCGGGGCCCGAGCCGCACACAAAAGCCACTGAGTTCACGGGTCTGCACGCAGCACCGCTGGGGGCCACGGGGCACGAGAATGCCGACCTTGTCGGAGACCCTCGGGAGCTCGGGTGAGCAGCCGCCGCGAGGGCTTCGGAGAGGGGCGGTCGGGGCCGCGAGGGCGGGGTCTGTGTGACTCTTCCAGAACGGGCACCGGGACGGCA